TGTCGACCAGGATGGACTTTGAGTTTTTTTGATACTGTACTGTGTTTGTAAGTAAATAAAAAATTAAAAAAAATTTTTTTTAAATTACGGTAACCCTCATGATGAATTAAAAAACAAAAAAATTTTTTTTAATTTAAAAAAATTACAGTAACCATCCAGATGACCTTATGAAACAAAAAAAAATTTTTTTTATTTATTCTTCAACCAAAAACCCATGCCCAAAAATAACCGCAGACAAAACCAAAAACAAACCATCAAATTGAACCCAACCAAACTCCAAAATTTTACAGTACCACCTTTTCCGAGACATTAAAAATTGTTTTGGCTAGCGATTAAGCGGCTTTAACAATTGGTATCCTCGCCTTAAGCACTGTTAAGCACCATAATATCGCGGATTTCCGGTCAACCAAAAATAAAAGCGGTTTAGCCGGGCCTGGTCTAACTGAATTTACAAAATTAACATTTTACAGTATTGCTAAAAAGCAATCCTTGGATTAGGTATGCCAACAATCTAAAGTGGTTTCTTGGAGTTTTTAGGGCTTAAAAGTACTGACTTTAAAAGAACAGTGCTAATTTTAAAATTTTAGGTAACATTAACACTTCAAATCTTCAAAATAGTAGTTTAGATACCATTTAAATTTAAAATTTCTCACAGTTTTAAATAACAGTGCTACCTATTAGATGCAGACATAAAGAACCCGCCATTTTTACAGAAAATTATAGGAAAAAGTATGGCGGGTTCTTTATGTCGGCACCTAATATAAAGTTGAACCAAAAGTAATGGGTCATTTTTCATTGACTTTTCAACTAAAAAGTGTCCCGTTACTTATGGTTTAATCTAATATAATACATAAAGACACAAAAGAGTATGAATTGGTCGTCTGTACACGTGCTGTAGTACTGGAAACAATATTAAAAAATATATGCTATTACAAAAATTTGTATCATATATATACATACAACCCACAGCTTTGGAGTTTGTAGCTTATGTAAAACAAAAAAACAAATAAAAAAAAAAGTTTACATTGTATTGTAAATACAACGTGTAGTTTATGTTTCAATGTAATGAAACACAATATTTTTGTAACTAGAAGAAACTACAGCTATATGCTTTGTAAAAAACTGTTAGCATTTATGTGTGTCTTATAAAATATTGGTTTTACCATGCTTATATACAGGGTCGGGCGGGGACTTTTGGTCTGGGGGCAGGGGTCCAAAAAATCCACAGGGGGGCACACGTTCAACATTTTTCAAAAAATTTTTTTTTGTGGGGGGAGGTACCCCCCACCGTCCCCCACCCTTGCGCCCGACCCTGCTTATATAATAGAAAAACCTAGGTTTTGATATTTATTTTTGTACCTACTATAACACAACAAACAATAGTCGTACTACAACTCTTAGAACAGCACATATTATACAGATTATACATTTGAAGTTGTATACGCTACGGAATAGACAGAAACCATAATTCCATTAGATGCCAACATAAAGAACCCGCCATACGTTGCCTATAATTTCCTGTAAAAAATGGCGGGTTCTTTATGTCGGCACCTAATAGAACGTTCAATGCAAAAAGTCTAGTTTTTTATACTAAAGTTACTGTAAAGAATATGTTCATCTATGCCAATATTCTTAAAAGAATACGTTTTCAAATGCCATTTTACAAAGTAAACACCACGTTTTATTGTTTTAGTTATCTAAACGTCTCAAGTGGTCTTTATGACTTTTCAGAGTAAATGCAAAGCCATGTGACAGCTGTAAAGCTTTATATTACTTTATGTATTGTACTACAGCGATCTATAAAATAAGATTTTTTTAAAAATTTTTTTGTAAAAATATTGTTCTTTAGATATTGTTTATGAAAGAAATGTGACTTTCGGGTGTACAGTTGATACATTGTTGTACGGTAATTAATAAAAAAGGAAGTTGTGTTATACTCAAGCTTATATCAGACTTTCTTTGGTTCAGTCTGACCGTGCAGGACCTAGAAGTCCCTTTTAAGCCTAGCTGTACAAAAAAATACTTGGAGTACTACATGGATTCACGTGTACTTAACTATATTACTAAATATCATAACGTATAGCTAATAAAAACTAAGTTTAAAACCTAAAAATTAGGTTTCAAATTCAAGTCTAGTACTATTAGGCGCCGACATAAAGAACCCGCCATACTTTGCCTGTAACTTCCTGTAAAAAATGGCGGGTTCTTTATGTCAGCACTTAATAATTTCACAAAATCTATTTAAAATGACTTTGCAACCAAATTTTCCGAAACTCACTGCAAGTGCAGATTAAAAGAAGCTTCTAAAATTTACGTCATCAAATCCGCCGACATATGTCTTACCACACATACTTAATGTTTCTTCAGATGTTTTTTCGGAATGTGTCGGTGTTTCATAAAAATTACATTTTTAATCAAGATATTTTAAAAGTTCATGGTACTTTTAATACTTAAAATGAGAAGGACGCTTACAACGTTTGGAGCTTAATCTCTGTTTCGTGTGGTTTGTACTAAAACATCTTTGAAATTTTTAAAATTCTTCAAAAGTAAAAAAAATTTTTTTTTATGTCAAAGATTTCAAAAAAACACTCCCCCCCCCCCCCCCCCCCCTTATAAAAAAATTATTGCACAAAGAAAACCAAAAAAATCAAGTCTATTAGGCTCCGACATAAAGAACCCGCCATACTTTGCCTGTAATTTCCTGTAAAAAATAGCGGGTTCTTTATGTCGGCACCTAACACAATATACAAAAAATTGTAATCTATAATATGATATACAAAAAAAAACCGAAAAACGAATGTTGTTCTACACGCTCACCTAGTAGTCCACTTTTAGCCCGCGCGAGCCTGTCCACCCCAAAAAAAGTGACGAACGTGAGGACGATTGCGCAACAGCCACTTTAAAGGATATTAACGACGTCGGCGATGACCGTCAGAACAGGTCTTTAAAATTACGTCAAAAAACAATATATCGACCATCCGAAGTGTTGGTTCAAAAAGGTATTTGGAAAGCGGATTTTGCAAAAAAAAACGAATCGGCTACACGAGTGGCGGAAGACGTTCGCTGACGTCGGCGCGCACATCCAGGTGAATATAAAAGGTAGCCCGAGGAATGGCGAGAGAAATCATAAGTGAAAGTTGGGTGATAAAGCAGTTTTTGATGGAGATATGACATAGCACTGATTTACAAGTTCTGAAATTCTACCCTACCCTACCCTACCCTACCCTACCCTACCCTACCCTACCCTACCCTACCCTGCCCTACCATACCCTACCCTACCCTACCCTACCCTACCCTACCCTGCCCTACCCTACCCTACCCTACCCTACCCCCACCCTACCCTACCCTACCCTACCCTACCCTACCCTACCCTACCCTACCCTACCCTACCCTACCCTACCCTACTCTACCCTACCCTACCCTACCCTACCCTATCCTACCCTATCCTACCCTACTCTACCCTTCTTCCTATACCCTACCCTGCCCTACCTTGACATACTATGACCTGCCTTGTTCGACCATACCCTACCCTGCGCTACCTTGACTTGGTATGCCCTTCGTTGCTCTACCATATCCTATCCTACCCTACTTTTGGTCCTTTTACCCGCTCCCCCAAAAATTACCTGCCTGACACTTCTAACAACATATTTTAGCACTTACGCCATTCTACTTGTCTAGACTGTACTATTATATTGTTTTTAAGTCGCTCTTTGCCAGAAATCAAATTTAAACTTTAAAACATCTTTTTAAATAACAATCACTTGACTGTAGCCATATACGCGTACTTAAATACAATAAACATTTGTTTAAATATGTAATACAATTCTAATGTGAAGAGGGTTAAGATAGTATTAATACCAAATTAAAGTTAAAAAGTATTATTACTATCAATGTAAAGATGTAAGGACAGTAAAGTAAATGTACGGCCTGTATATTGCTACATTTTGCCAGTTTTTCTGTAAAATATCTTTACTTTTCCGCATTTTGTCAGTTTTTTAAGTAAAAGATGGTTGTATATTACTACTGTTCACTAGTTTTTTGGTAAATTTATTAAGTGCCAACATAAAGAACCCGCCATTTTTTACCAGAAATTACAGAAAAAGTATGGCGGGTTCTTTATGTCGGACTTTAATACCTTTGTTAAATTACTACTTTTTTATTTACTGTAGGTTAGATGTTTGAATTAGACTCGATGCTTGCTTATGATTATACTGTACATAAGAAACATCGGTTCTAAAACAAAAGTCTAGCTTAGAAATGACGTTACTATGTGGTAATGTTACTACAAGTTTATTTCTACTAATAAATATTTTTAGTACTATAGTAGTATATTAGGTATTTCTGGCATGATGTGCACTGCACTGTGCAATAACTTTTTTCTAAAGTAAAAAGTTGTAAAGTATGTTTTTGCATATAACGGAAAAGTTTTAAAAATTTTCAAAAAGCTATGTGTAACATCTTTTATATGGTGATTAACAACAAAATTGTTTAAAAATCTCAAAAATGTCGAACCCGCATTAGTACAAAACATGTTTGTGACCACAAACAAGGAATCTGTATTCCATAATTAATCTGGCTGGAACACAAAGCATGGATTAAGGTTACACTAATATTTACAACGTAACGCCGGATTTACATTTATTGTAATTTGGTAAACATTCCAAGTACTGTGTTATAGATTTTACGAGTTTTTAGCATCAAATCTAGCCTTAGCCCTCGCCTCAGACCTAGCCTTAACCAAGGCCGGGCAAAAAGGGGGGAGGGTAGGAGGGGGGGAACATAGGTAGACATGGTAAACGGGCCAGTTCTAAACCGCCCGGTTCGATCTCGATTTTTCTCAAAGCGGCCGTTCCTCATGTCTAGTCAGAAGGATATCACCCCCAGACCCTGGCTTCCCGCCCGGCCTTAGGCTCAACCCTAGCTTCAGCTCTAGCTTCCACTCTATTCTCGGCCTTAGTCTTAGCCTCAGCCCTAGCCTCGGCCATAGCCTCAGCATTAGCCTAAGCTTTAGTCTCAGCTCTCGCCTCAGCTCTAGCCTCAGACCTAGCTTTAGCTCTAGCTTGAGCATTAGCCTCAGACCTAGCTTTAGCTCTAGCTTGAGCTCTAGCCTCAGACCTAGCCGCACCATTAGCTTCAGATTTAGCCTCAGCTCTAGCCTCAGTTCTGGCTTCAGCTCTAACTTCTGCCCGAGCCACAACCCTAACCTCAGTTCTAGCCTCGGCCATAATTTTAGCCCTAGCGCCAGCCCTAGCTCCACATTAATTCTATCTTACCTGTGCCTATATTTTTGTTACATTTCAACAAATACAACAGGGTTCAAGTGCCTATACTACCATCTCCGCATCTACTATAACATGTTTGCTCTTTAATTTTTATGACATGCCAAAAGGCTTAACCATTGGCCAGAGATGTGACTAATTTTAGCTCTAATATAACTGCGTCGACGTAAGAACATAAAACCCGAAAGCGCCTTAAACTGAACGTATGTACGAAAGCTCCGAATCAGGCGAATTCGTTCAGTACATCACTGTGACACGTCAGAATATACGCAATTTACAATGCTATTGTGTACTGTATTTTTACGACACAATGTCGATTTATTATATTTTAAAAGTTCTGGCTAAGCAGTTTTGACGACTAATATAAAGTGCGTCAAAAGTTCTGTTACAAAAAGGTGCGCCAAAAGTTCTGTTACCTTACCGGTCGTTTTCTCTATGACGCGGTTAAATTACTTAAAATTTTTTATTTTAGCTTATTCTCTATGTATTTAAATTAATTAACATAATTTTTAATTAATCAAAAAAAAAATTTTTTTAATTTAAAAAAAATATAACAGGATAACGGGAAGTACCCACGTGTTCCTCCAGCATGACACACCAGCACTTTATCCCCCCTTATCGTACTCTAACATTGCACAATTCCGAATCCACTAGCAAATCCAAGGACAAAAAGAACTAGATAGCCCCGCTTTCACAACAATTCTTATTAATAGCTACAATTGCTTATCCGACACGCGTCTTAACTACGTATTGAAGAAGGTAAATACAAGTACGTTGAAATTTGTAATAACTCTATTACTTATTAAGATAGGATTCTTTATACATCTCTGTAATATTGATATAGCTTTGAATTGGTATTTGCTAATATTGCGTTTACTTCGTTTTGTAAGAGGTATTTGTATTGTACATGATAAAAATTTTTGTATTGGCACAGGTAGCTCATGTGCTGGTTTTTTTGACCACCGCTCTTAGACCAAAAGTCCCCGCCTGATTACCGTACTAAGAAAAAAAATTGGAAAGTAACGTAGCTTTTGCTAAAGCTAATACCTAAAGCAGCAAAAGTTACAAACTTTGAAAATTTTTGAAAAAAAGTGAAATCTCCTACCGACTCCCCCCCCCCTCTCACCCTATCCCTCCCTCTCACTTTGCAAAATTTTCAGCTAAGATTTTTTAAAAAATTCAGTTTTTTGCTTCCAAAACCCTAGCTCTTACTCATACTCTGCCATACACAAACCCTCCCCAAGCACCTACAAAACGACGTCAAATGTATGTATCGTAAAGCGTACTATAATAATTGTAAAACTAATAAACCATATCCCACACGGGAAAATACTTCCGAATTTGGCAATTTTTCGAAATTCCCATTTCTACAGGTTTCACAAGGACCGTAAATTACGACACGGGCCGCGGAAGTACTGTAGTTATGAATGGAAATTATGTAATTTTGCAAATGAGGACATTTGAGGACATATTGTATTCAGAAATCGCTTTTACTAGTATAATTAATAACTTTTAAATAATTTTAGGCGTAAATAAACAACTTTTGTTTCATGATTGAGGTTAGGCTTTCTAAGCCTAAAACAACTGAAAAAAATCTTAATGAGTTTAAGCTTTAAGCATGTTAAACCTAAGGTTATCAAACCTAAGCCTACTATAAAAACGCTTGCTATGTCCAAGCCTACAAAGCCTACTCCCACTAAGTATAAGCCTACAAAGCCTAAAGCTACTAAGCTTAAGCTTGATAAGCTTAAGGCTACTAAGCTTAAGCTTGATAAGCCTAAGCCAACTAAGCCTACTAAGTTTAAACCTACTAAGCGGAAGCCTGCTAAGCCTACGACTACTGAGTCTTAACCTCCTAAGCCTAGCAAGCGTAGGCCTACTAAGCCTATGCCTACTAATCCTAAGGCTAATAAGCCTAAGCCTAAGCTTACTAAGCCTAAGCCAACTAAACCTAAGCTTACAAAGTCTAAGCCTACTAATCCTAAGCCTACTAAGCCTAAGCCTAAGCTTACTAAGCCTAAGCCTACTAAACCTAAGCTTACAAAGTCTAAGCCTACTAAGCCTAAGCCTACTAAGCCTAAGTCTACTTAGCCTAATACTACTAAGCCTAAGCCTACTAAGCCTAAGCCTACTAAGCCTTAGCCTAATAAGCTTAAGCCTTTTTTAAGCCTAATTTTGAAGGCACATTTAATCAAATTTTTAAAAATATTAAAATTAAAAAACTTGTCAAAATTTTAAAATTTCAAACCCACCGTCAGCATCATGTACGATGAGTACTCTTTGGAAAGGTCGCCCAGCGACATGATTCTGGGCGCTTCTTCGCTGTTTGAAGTCGCTATTATCGCCTCCGCCGGTTCGGAGGAGTGTCCGCCGGAGGCGATTGTCTGAAGGTTCGTTGCGTACGAAGTTGGTAACGCCATATTTTGTCAAATATTCGGTTACTGTAATTGGTGATGTTAAAAATTGAAGTTTTATGCAAATTTAAGGCATTTTGAACACCGCAAATTAATAATTTTTGTTTAATATTAAAATAGCACGTGTAATACAGTATAATATAATATTAAGTCAAACCAAAAGTAGCGGGACACTTTTAGTAGAACAGTAAATAAAAAGTGCCCCGCTTATGCCGGCACTTAATAGTATTAAATACGACAAAAATATAGTCTTAGCATTAGTTCTAATGATCAAAGTTTACTGTATGTTTACTTTGCCCCTAATATCCATAACCAACATATCAAAGTTCATAAATAAGCCAAAACACATATCCCAACCCATTTCACATAATACGATCGTATACCTGCTTCGTAGCACTTATACAACCATTACAACCGTACTACAACCATTACAACCATATTAACTTGTGTTAAAATCGAGTTTACTTTAAAAAATTACATTTGCATATTATCTGAAAGCCCTTTCAAAGCCGTGAAATCGGGTTTTGATTGTAATTAACAATACTGTTAAAGCAGATTAGAATATTTATTGGATTATTCAATTACTCAGAAGTATAAAGATTTTATGCCATTTTTAATTAAAATGTAACGGAAAAGGATTGTAATCATTGACATTGAAGATTGGATTTAACGGTTGTAAACCGGCAATAAGCCAATTGTGTATTTTAAGGCTAATCGCAGTTTTGTTACTGTGTGTTAAGATAATCAAAAGTAAATTTGGCAATTAAAAATTTTAAAAAAAAATTTTTAAGTTCATTTACATCAGCTCTAACCTTACCCTTAGTCTCAGCCTTGGATTCAGCCTTAGGTCTCAGACCGAGCCTCAACTCTAACCTCAGCCTTCGACGAGTCCTAGCTTCAGCCATAGACTCACCCCTAGCTTCAAAACTAACTTCAGCGTTAGACCTCAGATCTAGCCTCAGCTCTAGCGTCAGCCATTGATTCAGTCTTAGCTTAAGTTTTAGCCTGTGTTATAGCCTCAGCCCTAGCCTCAACCCTAACCTCAGCTAAAGTCTGAGTCCTAGCTTCAGCCCTAGGCTCAACCCTAGCTTCAGCCCTAGCCTGACTTATAGCCTGAAAACTAGAGTCAAATCTAGCCTCAGTCATAGACTAAGCCTTAGCCGTAGCCCTAGCTTCAGTCGTAGTTTCAGCCGTAGCATCAGCCGTAGCTTTAGCTCTACCCTCATCCCAAGCTTAAAGCATAACCTAAGCTATGGTCTGAGCCCTAGCTTCATTCAAGCCTTATCCCAAGCTCTAGCGTGAGCTCTAGCCTGTGCCTTAGCTCTATTCTGTCCTAACGTGAACCCTAGTTTCAACCCTGACCCTGCACAACTAGCCTCAGTTCTTGTCTTATTCTTATTATAATTCACCATTAACTAGTGTTAACCCCATCCTATATCTAATCTACCTGTATAATCATGCCTTAACCTCATCTCTGAAAACTAGGTTTACTTCAGCTCATACAAAAATACACAAATACCACAAAAATGTGATAAACAACCCATATATTAACTTCACATAAAATGCAAAATTTTCACATAAAAACCCCTCAAAAACCGAAAAAAGTCGCGAATGTAAAAACAAGTAAATAACTCAAGTTGTAAAAAATAAGTAATTCGGAGGGAAAATGTCAAATTCTTGTCAGTCCTGATTTGATGTCCTCCCATAAAAGGAAAAGATTTAGCGGCCGAATAACAGCGGCAAACAACAACATATGGAGACAAAATCAGCTGCAGGCTTAATGTGAAGTGGCTAGTCTGCTCAAAAGACCTAAACTACACTATAGTTTGCCTACAATAAAAAATACAACCAAAAATTTGTTTAAAAATTTAATTTACATTACACATAAGTTTATCCTCATTAACTTGACAAGATATTATCCCCACATCCGGTATTTGGTACAAGAATGGTCTAATCCTCTGACTCCCAAAGTTCTTGACAGATTACTGCGTTAGATTACTTGAAAAGATCAATAGTTACTTAGCTAATACCTGCTTCTTTGTTAAGCTAAGAATTTTGGCAGGTAAATTTTTGTTGCATTACCATGTACATAAATAGCCGCGCTTTTTTTGTGCGTAACATTTTTTATGTGCCATATATTTCAGTACATAAATGTAACAACACTGTTCTATAAAGTCATTTTATAATTGAGTTGAGCTTAAGCCAAAGCCTAAGCCAAAGCCTAAGCCTAAGCCTAAGCCTAAGCCTAAGCCTAAGCCTAAGCCTAAGCCTAAGCCTAAGCCTAAGCCTAAGCCTAAGCCTAAGCCTAAGCCTAAGCCTAAGCCTAAGCCTAAGCCTAAGCCTAAGCCTAAGCCTAAGCCTAAGCCTAAGCCTAAGCCTAAGCCTGAGCCTAAGTCTTAGCCTGAGCCTAAGTTTAAGCCTAAGACTAAGCCTAAGTTTAAGCGTAAGCTTAAGCCTAAAAAATGTCACTTTTTATATGCTTTATTACGTAACTACATAAAATAAGTACGCAGAGCAAACAATTACTGCGAGTGCTAGGTTTGCTCTATTATCTTAATCATCTTAATTTTGCAATATACAGCCACAGTTAAGTCTAAACAATCCTATGTATTGTATAATACTAAAATTTAACTTAAAAAATTCACAAAACCCTAAATACAGTGTATACGATACACTTGAACAACACAACAAAACGAACAGTATTTAATTAGCGTAGTTGCGTAATTACCACGCCTTATTCACGTTGCTACGCGCCACCCGGATACAACGAAAAAAACAGGAAACGAGTGGACGTTGGGGGGAGACAAAGGTTCTTTCGATCATAGGTGTCGATCCGCGACGGACATTGATGACGCTTCAGAACGAGATCTATTCGTCGCCCAAAACTAGGTGAAAAAGGCCTCGGGCAGGTGAATGTTGTCGATAAGACTGGCGATTAATCCAGTCTTCGACACTTTTTTGGGTAATAAAGAAATATGTCAATAGAAAAAGGCAAAGGCGATTGAAAAAGTTATTGATTTGGAAATGTAGGTACTGTAAAACAGTAGAGCAATGTTAACTTAGGCTTAGTGAACGTAAACTTATCAAACAAGAGGATTTGAAGGCTTAGGCTTAGTATGTTTGGACTCAGTAGGCTTAGACTTTGTAGGCTTAGGCTTAGTAGGCTTAGGCTTAGTAAACTTAGGCTTAGTAGGCTTAGGCTTAGCAGGCTTAGGATAAGTAGGTTTAGGCTTAGTAAGCTTAGGCTTAGTTAGCTTAAGCTTAGTAGGCTTGAACTTAGTACGCTTAGGCTTACTAGACTAATACTAGTAGGCTTATAATCAGTAGCCTTAGGCTTAAGGTTAGTAGTTTTAGGCTTAGTAGGCTTTCGCTTAGTAGACTTGGCTTAGTAGTTTTCATCTTACTAGCTTAGTTTAGTCTTACTTAACTCAAGCTTGGTAGGCTTATAGTCAGCAAAAACGAAATAAAACCTACTGTACACACTATCTTATCATACCTTAATAAAACTCCGCTATAGTAATTCAAAGCCTGCGTATACTTAAGAATATCCACAGAAATGTAAAATTAACCCGAATGTGTACATTTAATCAAATTCCACGTAATCTATTGTTTATTCTGATACTAATTTCAACATTCAATTATAATCGTCTGTACTCTCATAATTTTTAACACTGTATTCGCTATATATTCCTGTAAGCCACGCCCACTTCCTCAAGTCATTCTTCATGGATATTTATAAAACTACGTAAAAGGCACAATCTGGACTATCTTTAGATTTTTTTTGCAAGAAATGTTAGGTATTGTATAAGAGACAAGGACAAAATACAAGTGAGTGGGACTTTTAAAATCAAAAAATATGAAAGGAAATGTCAGATATAACAATTTTTTGTTATTTAACCAAAGCCTACCACGCCAATGCTTAGTACTTCCAAGCCTACTAAGCCTACATCCACTAAGTATAAGCCTACTAAGCCTAAAGCTACTAAGTTTCACTATCAGCATACTAAGCTTAAATTTGATAAGCCAAAGCCTACCACGCCAATGCTTAGTACTTCCAAGCCTACTAAGCCTACACCCACTATGTATGAGCCTACTAAGATTGAGCCTACTAAGCCTAAGTATAAGAACCCTAAACTTTCTATCTCAATGCCGACTGACCGTAGCCTACTATACCGATACCTAAAAGCCCAAGCCTAGAAAAGCCAAAGCTAAAAGGTTAAGCCTAATTTTAACAAGCCTCGGCCTAGACTTTAAGCAATTTTTCATTTTTACCTTCTCGCTACAAAACCCCAACTACTATAGTGAAAGAAACCCCTACATTTACAACAATCCCCAGACCATCAAGATCTAAATGTCCTTCCCACAAACAGTAGACCAACAAGACCCCAACATGTCATTGTTCGATAATACAGCCAAATTAGATAATCTTTCCCAAATTGGTAATAAATGTAGTAAACATTGTTTCAAACGAGGCGGAGTCAAACACGGTAAATGTTATTATTAACAAATTACTCACGTGCTAATTACGAACTGTCTGAGAATTAATCAAGCATGAGTTTCGTTAATCCATAAAGGTATTTTTAGCTAAATTAAGTGATAATCAAGGTAAATAGAAGGTAAAATATTCGGTGCCGACATAAAGAACCCGCCATTTTTTACAGGAAATTACAAGAAAAGTATGGCAGATTCGTTATGTCAGCACCTAAAATATGTAATTGATTCGAACGAAATGATATTTATATGTATGGCCATGTCTAAGAGATCGAACAATAAAATGAAATGAATAAGGCGACTAAAAAAATTTTAAATGTTAAATTTTAATTTAAAAAAAAATTAATTTTTTAAAATTTGTCAATTCCTCTTTCCCCCCCCCCCTCTCTTCTTTTTTTTTTTAAATTCAAAAAATTTTTTTGTTTGAGTAGCCAAAATACAAATTTTTAAATACTTGTGAATAAAAAAAGTAAATTCCACGCCTAATTTGTAAATCGCTGCTACCCTCCTCCCCCCCCCCTCTCTCTGCCCATTGTACATTTTAAAAATTAAAAAAATCTAAAAAAATATTAATATTTTAAAACCTAGCCAACATAACCAACCACAAAATCAATAAACCAACTTTTTTGGCCATACCCTGCTCCTCAACCCCACCGTCACCTCCCCCCGATTACACAACGCGCTCAAGGTTACCCCGCGTTTCTGCAGCTCCCAAAAAACAGCTCGCCGACAAATTCAACTTTATAATAGTAACCCAGTAACCCAGTGGTGTGCAACAACACACAAAAAGAACGTTGAAGGGGAAGCGACGTGATAACGGCGACGGCTTTGTTCTTCTTGTTTGTTGCGCAAACGAGTCTGCAGCGACGACGAGCCTCACAGATTCGGACGTCTGATTCTGGATCAGACAGTGCGAAAGGAAAAGAAACATAAAAACCGTCGTTAATTTGGTTGGAGAAGCGCCAAATGAAACAAAGCTTTGAAGAGATTTTGTTACAAAACAGAGTTAGTAGGCTTAGAGTTGTTAGGTTTATGTGTAGCTTAGTCAGTTTTGATTAAGTACACTTTAAACTTAGTTGGCTTAGGGTTTGTAGTCTTAAACTTCAAAAAACTTAGGTTTAGATGATTTAGATTTAGTAGGCCAAACTTCAATAGGCTTTCCTTTCTATGCTTTTAAGTTCCGACATAAAGAACCCGCCATACTTTGTCTGTCATTTTCTGCAAAAAATGGTGGGTTCTTTATGTCAACACTTAATAGCGTTATTAGGCATGCATAAAGCTTAGTAAGCTAATTTTAGTAAGCTTTAGTGGGTCAAAAACATTTTTTAATTGCAACTTTTTAAGTTAAAAAAGTTTGAAAATTTTCACATTTTTTGCCCCTCCCCCTTTGTTTTTTATTGCCCGATTTTATCCG